CACATGCACACACACACGTGCAGGTAAAGGTGTGATGGAATCTTGTGTGATTCACAAAATTGCACCTCCTGCCATAACTCATGTGCACAACAGGAGGCACAATTGTGTCATTGCACATTACATTCCATCATGCCTTATGGCCAGTACAGGGGAAACCCAATCCTGGGCTCCCCCTGCACTGGCAAGTAGAAGGCTCCCATTAATGTTAGCCCCAGGCACCCCAGTTGAGAGGCTCCCATAGCCCCCAAGAGTTGGAGGATCCCTACTGTGGTGACCTCCCTGCCCAAAGGGTGCAGAAAACTCCCAGGGCAGGAGGAACACTGCTGCAGTGATCCCACTGCCACCGGGGTGCAGAAAATCCCTGCAGCCAAAAGATTGCCTCAGGGGCAATCCCCTCCACTCCAGAGGTGTGCGAAAACCATCAGGGCTGGAGGATTACTGCAGGGGCAATCTCCCTGCACAAAACTCCTCGATCCTGGGGATCGCAGCTGCTACAGTCCCTAAGGCTTGGGGGTGTGGGAAACTCTTGGACCCTAAGGATTTTGGCTGCTGCATTCCCTGTTTTTCACTGTGCATGGACTATTCTCCAGGAAACTCTACAGCTGGGAGGTCCATCAGCTAATGGGGCTCCCATCAGTTGGGAAGACCCTGCTGCACATGCAAATTAAAGCTTGATAGCAACCAGCGACAAAGTTAGAAGTTGGTACACATTTTCGAGGTCTAACTTTATAGCTGGCTGGAGCTTTTTATTAGGATAGCTACTTTACATGTATAGCTGGTCTCCAAGTAACTGTGCAATTAACCAGGTAACTGTACAATACCTGTAATACATAGAGAGGACCTTAGTGTCTACTGTCTGATGAGAATCAATGTCAACGATGAAGATCCTAAATACTGTAAATTTTCAGTATGTCTGCCGTTTTTAATGAGAGAGAAATGTTGATGCTTGAATCCTGCCTGAAGTTATTTGGATAGTTAAGATAGTGGCATAACTTTGAGATGCTCAGAGGGCACTTAGCACAAGTTAAAGAGCTTTTACATGTGCATACTCTTATTTTATGTCCTTTTAGTATGGTCTAAGTGTAACCTGTAATTTCACCCTTGGATATCTTCCAAGTAGCAGGAAGGAGCTTTGCTCTAATTGGGATCCATAGCCATGACCCTTGCATTAGAGTTGGGTGTTCATCCTAGCCCCACCTCAAAAACACACCCAAGGCTGAGATGATGCCTACAGCTCATTGGATAGGACCTTCATGTAATATGTGAGACCTGAGTTCAATTCTTTCCTTTGCCTGAGCTTATTTGGATGTGTATCTTCCACATCCCAGGTGAATAATGCAACTGGAAGACCATAGAATATGTCAAGGTAGAGTTCAATCAATCCCTCCTGCTGTAGCTGTTCTACTTTGAATAAAATAATTCAGCATTCATTAGGCCACAGAAAAAGAGAACATGACTAGAGCATAGTGCAGGGGTGACAAACTTCCTGACTCTTCTAGCCAGAAACCAAAACTTTGACATAGCTGAGAGATGCAAGACGTGTACCTTCTGAGATGCACGGACACCTAAGTTCATAATTGGTGCACAGTCTCCCAACTCAAACAATAATTGTCACTCAATATCTTTCTTCAGGAGCTGCATTTAAAGTGCCAGGAGTCGCATGGAACTTGCAAGCCATAGTTTGGCTAGCCCTAGCCTAGTGATTAGGGCACTTGCCTGGGAAGAGGGAAGCCCTTGGGTTCCTGTCCCTGTGCTAATGAATATTTACTATAAATTACTGGAATATTCATTCTTGAACATTTTATTGTTACAACAGTTATACTTAACTTGATACAACACATGATGTACTGTTAGTGAGTCAAAAATTTTTATTTGAACACATTTAATGGAAACTGTGACATTTAATGATCTTGTATATTTACTTTTCCACAACAGTTACCAGCTAATACAAAAATGCAAGCGATCAGTATAATAAGTACTGATTACAACATTCTAAGAATATAGAATTACTTGTGAAAAAAATGTATCCCCCATCCCTAGACTGATGAGAGGTTTAATTCAATTATGTATCTTCCACTTTTATTTGGGCTGAAACGATGATGTTTTTCTGATTCCTCTTTATATGAAGGCAGAACATAGAACTGTATCCTTTTATAATTTTAGTACAAAGCGATTGTGGCCTGCTAAAAGCTCATTTTCTGTTCTTTAATTTAATCCCACTGGGCTTCTTTTCTAGGTGGGGAGGAGGTAAACAACAGCTCATTATGATTTAAATCTGAGTCTATCTGTGATTTATAATGTTGCATAGAACTATCTTGAAACATAAAAATATTCAGCTGTGTAGGATGCCCCTTAGTGGCTGAATATAAATACTGTTGACAGAAGAAATTATTCAAAACACTTAGACAAAAATAAAATATTTGTCTAGCTGATTAACATGGAAGACGAGTTTAAATCTTAACTAACCAACATAAAGTACTCTACAAAACTGTGTCTGCATAAACTATCTGAAACAGTTAAAATAAAAGGAAAGTACCGCATTAAATAAGACCTAGAAAAATAAGGTGGAAGGGGGGAAGGAGATCACAAACTCCATTGCTATTTTAATCAGAATGTGTTATGGGATCAACAAACTATGCAGAGGGAATATGATCTGACATGCTCAACTCAGCTGCAAAGGGCAACCCATCATTCTTATTGTTCTCTTCTATAGTAGAAAATTTCAAAATACTAAAGACCTAAAAATAAAATAAAAACATAAAATACTAACAGAAGAAAAGGTTACTTTGGTATTGCTAATCCTTTCCAATACCATGTCTACAGCAGATAATCTACAGGCCATTTTTCTATGCTATGGTAGGATATTAAAACATGTTACATTGTACGAACATTTTCAGATAAAGAGAGTCCAACAGCAGTAAAGGACAGATTCTGCCAATTCTGATATGCACACAGATGTCTAACATATATTCCTCTGTGTGTGTATGCCCAATATTAATGGTTCATGGGAGGTATTTTGCTGTTTGCTCTAAGTCTTGTCAAGAAAATACATGCTTCCAACATTCCCTTTCAGAATAAATCTTTGTATTGACATGATTTTCAGGAGCTGTTACAAGGTGACCCTAATTAAGCATGGCACGCCCATCCATCTGTGTATACCTACTCTGATTTTAACTGTACATCATACATGTAATCTTCTCTCTATGTACATACAGTATATCCAAAGAAATCCATCACACTTTGCTTACACATCTAATATCTCCCCCAATCATCAGTCATTATTTCCCCTGCAGAGATCTGCAGTACTTTCCCTGGCTTTTCAAGTTTGCATTTAGAAATCTAGACTGAAGTGTCTCACAAACTCTGAACTGATCAAGAAGAGAAAAATCATTACTCAGCTCTATCGACATAAACTCTCATTTCTTGAGTCGTATCCCAACACAGCTTAAAGGGTCAAACAAAGTCTCTTCTCTTGAGTTAGCCGGTGTGTACTGTAGCCAGAAACACTGATCCCAAACATTCCCAATAGCAAAGCTGTACGTTGCATCAATATGTCTGTTGTGTTGATAACTATTTTTCCCGCAGCTTGAGTCTGTGGGGGGGAAAAAAGCAGGACAAGTTATATGCCGATTTTGCTTATTTTAATACAAAAGTAGGGCTTTAGAACTTACAAAGCAATTTCCCTGCTTCTCACATTATTTAATATGGCATGACTCTCTTTTCTGCTGAAAAAATATCTGGCACAAATAAATAAGCCGCTTGAAAGGTCTCTTATAAATTTTGTGAAACAAAGCATGCTTGTTTTAGCACTGCAAATAATGAACCTGATTCTCATGCTACTAACACAGTTAAGTACCAATGAATTCAATGACTGGTGAAGATGCTTGTGGCTATCTGATGTTTGGGAGAGGTGTGGAAATGAGGGGATCTTGAGAGAGACCTTGTACTGTGAAATATAAAGATTTTTTTTTCCTCCTACATTTAGCTACTATTATAATCTCACTCCCTTGCATGTTAGAAATTAATCGTTTATTGAAAGGAAGAATAAAGAATGGAGAATATTTCAGGGACAAATGTTGATTAGCCCATTTGTGCCATCTTGAGAAGTAGGTTTATGAACACATAGAAACCCTACGTATAAAAAAAATTAATTCCTTGGAAACGCGCTGAATTGGAGGACACAGTGCATCTGTTCGGTAACAGCATATATCATTTTAGATAATGTATAAATACCATTCAGGAAAACATTTCTTTAATTTTTTTTATTCAGTGAAGTCACAATATTATTTCATATCACAGTTATTCTATGTAGGTTTGAACAATGAGATTTCACTGTTCTAACTTTAATAAGTAACAATGATAATAAGATACTTTAATTTGTAATAACAAAAAAACCCTAAAAATTTTGAAGCAAACACTACTATGAAGGTTGATCACAAGAGTTACAGGCAAACAGGAAGGAAATTCAATATTAATAAGTCAGTAATATCCTTCCCTTGACTAAATTATCCATAACCTAATATACTTCAAAATTTTAGGTATTCATGTTGTATTGCCAAGACCTGTGAAAGCCACTAATGCAAGAATGTGTGTGCTATAAATGCCAAGGCATAGAATGAGTTAAGAAGAAAGCCCAGGAAATGTAAATCCAGAGTACACTTCCGATTGCTGTTTTAGTCCTATTACATTTATTTAAAGCATTTTCTTTTCATTGATTTTTTTTTTTTTTTTACAGCAGAATAGCTTCTCCATTCACTTGATTTTCCTGGTGTCAAAATTGTTCCCTTTTTTTTTTTTAGCCCTTTTACATTTTTTTAAAGCATTTTCTTTTCATTGATTTTTTTTTTTTTTTTTACAGCAGAATAGCTTCTCCATTCACTTGATGTTCCTGAGGTCATAATTGTTCCATATTTCTTTATCCAAATTGCCAAACTAGGCAGAAACACTTCATTGTAGGTCTCTTTTAGTTCTTTTGGATCACTGCCATTTTAATTATTGTTAACATTTTCTTACTGTCTCAAATAAAAAAGTTATTGCAAACTGAAGCCTGATGGAGAAATATTCACTGTTTAAATACAGCAAAAACATAAAATGTGTCTCCTTCCAAATGTTCTGCATTAAGTATTCCAGAATGATACTAATTATCAAGAATTATCATAACTCATTTACTTTTCAGCAGATGCTTAATTAAGACTTTGATTTGTTATGAAAGTTAACCCACCAGAAGCTAATGTTCTCTTGGGTTGGTCACAAGATATTATGAGCTTGAATCCCTTTGAGTAAGACAGAGATCTGTATTCTAATGCTCTAATTAAATAGGAAAGACAAGGAAATTTCATACCTGCAATAATCTTATATACCCAGGTGTGATCCTCCATAGGTGAATCACCATTTTAGCAGTCTGTGTAATTTCAGCCCCTAAAACTCTAGAAAAGAAATAATGTTACTATGTTCCACAGATCTTCTTTGTAGATGACCTTGCACTAAATAAAAGGTTTGACCAAATAATCTCAAAATGTTTTGATATAGAAGTGTTAATTAAATATTAAAAGGAGCTCATGTAAAGATGAATGCAAACAATTTTTCTTGACCTGCTGAGGTCCTTTCCATAAGTCCCTTATATGCCAGTGCTCTACTAGTATATAAAGCCCACGTCCGTTGCATAAGCTGTCACATGTGATATATCTGTAAAGCTTAGGTGCTGGCAGACAGCCTTAACTGTCATGCCTGGGGGCAGGTATGTCTGCAATATCAAAACATTCTTTAGATATGTCCAAAGCTCATTAAAAAGCAAAGCAACAGTTGACCTGCTTAACAACCGAAAGACTGAAGCCTGTTTTATAGACGGTGTTGGTTGTAATGATAGCGCATTTTAGCACTGTGAAGTAACAATATAAATTGGTTTCAACCAATTTTATATAACATATGTAATTCATATCCACGTAGCAACTTACTATATAGTGAGTTTAATTTAGCCAAGATTCAATTTAAACGGAGGTGCTAATAATAGGGTCACACAAATTCCACAAGATATTTGAAAGCAGGCTGTTCCTTTTCTGTCTGAATTCTCCTCTCCTGTATTCAGCATATATATAGTTCCCTTTTCTACTTCTAAATCCTTAACACATGGATGTGACATGAGCCCCATCTCCTCATTGGATAGCTTAATTCTATTAATAAACAATTGTAACACAATCGCATCGTATCTAAATTGTATATGTCATCTGACTGTAATAACTTTGGTCCCTATTCTGCCCATGGAACAAGGGATGATTCAGTGGGTATGTCTACACATGTGCCCTACTGCACGATTGGTACTTGCCGAGTAGGTAAGCAAAAGCCGAGTGGAGAAGTATTCATCATTTACATGCATCAAAAAACATGAAATGTCTCTTCTTCCAGATGTTCTGCATTAGGTAGTCCAGAATGACACCAACTAACCAAGATTACCACAACTCATTTACTTTTCAGCAGATGCTTAATGAAAACTTGTATAAAGCAAGAACACTGACTTCAATGAAATATATTGATTTACACTAAATGAGGGTCAGTTAACAAAACATAAGCAGGATAAGCCTGAATCTTCTTTCTTTCACAATCATTTTACAACAGTTTCATTTCCTCAGAATTTTGGCATTGCTTTTGATTTAAAACCTGAAAGCAGAATCTTGCTCAATGGGATTCTAGCTTCTTGAGGCCAACCCAAGAGATGTGCTTGTACACATTCATTAATGCACAATAATTACAGCACATTAAGTTTAGTACCTGTAACAATAGGCACTAAATGCACCATAATCAGCACTACTGCACATTAGTGCAGATGAATGCTTTTTTAGTGAAGTCAATGTGCATTAGACTGAATCCACAGTGCATTAGTGCATTAGCATGGGTTTAGCCCACCACATTAATGAGCAGAATTAGTCTTCTGTGCAATGTGTCTCATGTTTATGCACCGATTGGCATTTGGTGGGTTAACCTGAAAGTTGAATAAGCTCCACAGTAGGCACATCTACCTGTCTGTTTTACTGCACAGTAGATTAATTTAAAGCACAGTTTGCTATTCCCAACAGATGCAGGTACTACAAAACAGTTCTTTAAATTAATGCACCTAAGTGCATGTGTAGATGCTGACCCTGGAGCAAATTACTCCCAGTCAGCCCAGGCACCAGAGGGCCACAATGGCTTAGCCACGAGCACCAGAACCAGGATCAACTCCTCTCTCCCTCCCTGCCCCCACTTCCGAGCTTGGGGCTAACCCCAAGGTCTGCTTGGCTTGCAGCTGCCCCTGGGCCCGGGGACCATCCCTCCCTATCCCCTGGCATCCAGGCACATTAATTGCATCTGTAGACACATCCAGCATTGACTTTAGCATCTATAGTGGGAGCCCAGTGTCTTAAGTGCCATTATAACCAATCTTTACAGTAACTCCATGCCTAACCTCAGATTAATTCCTTAACTTCTTTCTGCCTTGTATATGTTGCTGGAAAACATTTGGGTCTTTGGTCAAAGGTAAAAGACTTCCTTTGACTTCAATGGACTTTGTATTAGGTACTTCTCTGGGTTTCAGTTCCTATTTTCACACTGGAAAAAATAAGTGAAACAATTCATCAGTAAATCTGAGAGACTGAGCAAGTACAAATGAATTTAGCACTAGAATGTCTCCTATACAAAAGTGAGAAAAATCCTTATCTACTATTATTATTAGTTGTTGTGGCCCTGTGCAATGTGGTGACTGCTGCTCTATTCCTAAATCATCTGACAGAAGAATTGCCTTCTTTTGGAAGTAAATAGAGATTGGATTTTTTTTCTTCAAGTGACTAAAATTACACTCATTCAAAGCAAAGCAAAATTTCCATTGATATCAGCTGGTGTAATATTGCATCCCAATGAACTGGTTTCACTGTACCTGCATAAGAGTGTGTGCATGCTATATTTGTGTGCTGATGAAGGTGTATAATGGGGATAAATATGGAGGTACATGATGCAGAATGGGATTTTCAGAGTTTAGTTAATAGAATTACAGTAAATGCACATAATTCATTACTGGCAACAGGATTGTGTGTGTAATTCTCTATGTTCCATTTTGAAAATGCTCTTTGTTTGTGGTGTTGAAAGAGAAAAGCAAAGACCATCCTCTTGTATACTGACATCCAAAATGGTGAGCTTTTAAATCCAAGTCATCCTGTGCTGGTTCTGTAAGATTCAGATCCAAAACTGAGATGAAAGAAAAGCAGTATTTATGAATCCTGCAGTTTTTCTATAAGAATGACTTCTTGACTAGTGGTCTCACAATTAAAGTGCAGAAACACTGTATGGGCTATAGAGTGTTATCAGTCTGTTCTATACAGAAAACAGTTCACATTATGGGAGCCCTGGGAACAGTTTCTAATGCCAAAATCCATTGTGAAAAACATCACATATAGAATAGCAATGCACATTTACCAAATTAATACTAGTATCACAACTCCCAGTAACTGGCGGGGCAAAAACTTTTTTAAAATAGCAGAAACTTCCATTTATAGGAGCATTTCATGCAACTCCAGATGAACTGGTATGGTACAAGAAGCATATGCAGTTTTATGGCATAGTTTTTCATAAAGTAAAAACGACACAAAAAAGCAATCATGAACAAAGTTCAATCTATAATTCTATATACTATTCTTACAGAGTTATACAATTTAGACCAATTGGGGCAGATTTGTCCCTACTATAATTTTGCTCAAGGCAAATGGATTATATCGGGGATGTTTCAGGGCCAGTGCACAGTCACTTTTTTAAAGCTCCAAATATAAAACCGCATTTGTAGCAAGGTATTTAAATATGTACTATGAGAAATAACATACGTAACTTTCTCTTTTGAATACTAATGGAGCCCATGTAAAATCTGCAGGTGCAAAGTTAAACAGTAGTTTGATACTCTGGTGAGAGACAAGGAAGGAGACAGTGATTGACTTAGTTCTGAACTCCCTTGATTTTTACCAGGATAAGGCATTTATTTAACATCACTATCAAACACATCTGGGATTTTCACAGGACTCTGAGGGCACACAAACAAGTTACTGAAAAAGTGAGCAAGGAGATGAGTTTACAGTGCATCAGCTACTTGTGGTGACTGACTGTTGGGCATGCTCTTACCTTGCAATAAACATAAGGCAGCCTGTCCCACTTTCATTGAAGGGCAAGATTACTTGCACTTACTGTGAAGGTAAATTTCTCCTGAAAATCAATGAGACATAGTTTGCATAAACTGGTTCCTTGAAAAATCCCAGCCTACAGAAATTAAGAATCCCATTTACTGCTGTAAAGAATGGCATAAAGAAAAATGTCCTCACCAGAAACCACTTTTGGTGGAAAGACAGGGTGGATGGTGTTGGAAAGAGACTCCTCAAGCAGCAGAGGAGGGTGCTGTTGGGAACTTCTACTTCAGAACAGAGTTTGATTTGCCCGAGTTACCCAATCATAGCTTCATATAGCTAGCATTTCCTACCAGATACTAAGCATATCTGGATGCAAACAATAGGACATTTTGTCCCACCTGTTAACTCAGATTACAGGTAACCTTGTGAGTAGGCTACTGATAAAGAAGCAGAAATAGGTCTACAGCCCTGCCTTTTATTTACTTGCACCTTAAAACATAAAAAATATTCCAAGATTTATCTAGCTACCCACAACAACACAACATAGATTCTGAGTTTTTCAAATTTTTCTTCAGTCTATGCCCAATATTTATAGATGGCTGGTTTTAATATTCTAATAAATTTATCTCTGGGTTTTTTTGCATGTTTTTGTTTCACGGAAACTTTTGAAACTGGGCTGAACTGGATTTTTTTTGTGGACTTGGAAGGTGTTAATTAGTTGGGAATTATGTCTGAAAAAAAGAGGGAGGTTTTCTTATTTTCTGTCCTTTCCAACTGTGGAATGATCTTCCTGTTTTTTCTTTACCTTAGATTGGGGGGGCCACTTACTCAGTTTTGGCAAGCTATTGAGAGCTGCAAAGGTAGCCCTGCCCCTTGACAGGTACCCTGCCCCCTGGTCACCATCTTGGGACCAGGAGTCCCACCCCCTAGCTTCTGACCTGTGCCACCAGAAGTCCCTACCCTGCAATACCAGGCAGTAGCAGGTGTAGGAATGCACAATTTAGAGGATTTGGAGACCTGACTGCTTTGCTCTGGCTTCTAACAATCCATTTCTCCCACTTTCCATGCCTTTTTCTCTGTTCTTTTTTGTTACAGGAACAATCTAACTTCTGAGTCTCTTTTGGTTTTAGAAAGACAGGGACATTAGCACTATCCCTTAAAGAGACAAGGCCAGATGGTATGATGAAGGAATTAAAACAGAATATAAACTAGTACTTGTAGTTTCCCATTTATCTCAATGGAAACTCAGTACTGGGTTTCAGCCAACATCTGGTGATATATGAGGGTATTAACTGGCTGCAGTCCCTAGACCACACACAAGATTTAAGATGAAGTCTCTCATCATCTTAAGCCATCTTCTTATGTGCTGCTGACTTCTGTGGCCTGTGGATCTCTGATGGATTAACCAAAACACTATAGGTCATTCCCTATGTATGACTGTATGTCCCCATAATAAAACAATAACCATGTTTTTCTTTCTGTAGAATAGTAGACAGAGAAATGAGGGGAACCAGTTCTAC